ATAGAAATATCATTAACATTGAAACTATAGATCTGATATCTTGCAGTTATCTCATATAACCTAACCAATTATCTATATGTATCTACAAATGATCACACCACACTATCAAGATATAATCAGTTAAAATAATACTCTCTGAGGGCTCATCTGACCACTGCCCTACAATAGAATATCACCAATCTGATAATATCTTCTCATAGAGAAGCAAAAGAAAAGAAAAAATTTTTAAGAAAACAAAAATACAGAGATATAGAGAAGTACGTAAAAAAAACAAATAAAAAAAAGAAAAAAAATAAAAGATGAATAAAAAAACTAAACTAAATATGAGATTTTTTACTTACACCAGATAGTCACAATTATAAGCCTGTGTTAGGCTATAAAAATTACATATTACTATTTAAACTATTCTCTATACTAATTTATATAATTAATATATTTAAGCAAAAACTCTAAAAGGAAAAAAAATAGCTTCTTCGACATTAGCACTGTAGAGAGATTGGAAATTCACACTATTGGGCTCAGAGCATCATTTGTCCAGAGGCCATATTTGAGGTACGTAATCTAGTTATCCATATCTCTGTATTCATATATTTGTTGTAACAGGTAATAAATATAAACAATGCTATCTGATTTGGTAAGTAAACAATACATAATCTTTTGGAGAGGATAAGCTAAATTGTTTACTTTTTACAAAATTTTTCCTGAAAAAAGAAGTGGAGGACAACACAAATATATAAGGTTTTTTTGTAGGTTTTACAATCATATACTTGGTTCTTCAGAACAATACTATCTCAGCGAGGGCAAATCCACTCTTGCTTCTAAAATAAACCTTCTAGTTTGGATACCAAATATCTCAGGAGTTCATTACAACAGAGAAAACAAAAATTTAATCTCAGGAAAAACTACTTAAATTATATCTGCTCCTTGGTATTTCACGTCTTTCAAGCTTTGTCAACAACAACCTGTTTAGAGGTAAGTTCAGTTTTCAGAATATCCTTCTGGTTTGGATGCTAAATATCTTGAGGAGTTCACCATTAGTGAAAAGCTTGATCCTAAGAAAAACTATCCAAGTTACACCCACTTTTTGGTATTTCATATTTACAGGCTTTGTTGACAACTGTTTACTTAAAGACAGAACTGAAATAGTATTTATCTTGGAACTTCCTATAGCATTTTTCTGTAGTTCAATTTTTGTTGTGTTGTCTAGAGAATTGTTAGAAAGAGTTTTTTTTTGATAATATTATCTTATAGCATTATAGTAAATAGTATTATTACTTAGTGTTATTGAAAAATATTTAAACTCTGCTTTTTCCCAAAGCAAAGGGATATTAGTATATGCTCCACCTCTATTTTTTTAATAATATATATTGTTTTTGGGTATATTTAACTCTTTTTTTGATTATATTCTTGTTATAAAACTTTATTTTATTGTAATAAATTATAATTCTATAGTACGTTTATAGTAGGTTTATTGTATTTTTATTAAACTTTTATAGTAAAATTATTGTATTTATATTAATATTTTTGATTTATACTCAAGTAAATTTATTTGTTTTTGATTTTTATTTAGTTATTTTATAATATTTTTGTTTAGTTATTTTATAGTATTTTTGTTTAATTTTAATTTTTTTTTACTTTAGCAATTTTTTTTTATTTTTTAAATTGGCAGTAACTTACAACAAGATATCTTAGTTAGCTAAACTTATATTATTTATAAGAATACTTTATGCTTGTTACAAATAAAGAATCTCTTAATCCATCTCATTATCGTAGTAAAAATGAAGTAACCCCCAAATTTATGCTAGAGTACGACCCAGGAGTGACCTGCCTAAGTAAACATTTTTCTACTTCCAGAATCTTCAACTTACTGAGAATATGAGCTCTAAATATCAACAGATAGTTTTCACTAACCTTGTTAAAATCACCGTTCTACAATAGAGTGCTACCAATCTGATGATACTTTCTCATAAAGAAATAAAAAAAAAAAAAAGGATAAGTATAGAGTGAAAAAGAGATAAGTAAAAAAAACAAACATACAAAGAAGATGATCAAATTATAAAGGAGTTAAAAAACTATTCTAAAATCTAAGAGAACTTGTTTACAGATATAAAAACCTGCTAACAGGTGAAAAACTATCTATATGGTTGTAAAAATCTATATATAAAGCTATTTGACAAAAGAAACTACAATGCACTTTAGCCTGTGCTAAGAACTAAAAATTATATGCCTACAATTTTAGAATATTGCATATCTTATATTACTGCTTTAGTTGTTAACTTTCGTATTAAATCCAACTTGGGTCCTAGAGTAACCAATCTTAAAACCTTGACATATAATCGTTGGTTTTAATTTCAGCCTCAAAATTTCTTTCTTAACGTATTTGTTGTTTTCTTTATTTGTTGTAGTGCAACTCGAGACTTTCTGATAAACAATACTGATCCTTTGCTGATCTTTTGAAGGAGAATAGCCAAATCTACCACTTTTTGTCAAAAATTATAAAAAAGAAAATGGTGAGAAAAAAAGTGTAATTTAATAAGTTTTCCAATTAAGGAGTGTTGTTTCAAGAGTTCTTCATAGTTTTTTGTTCTCAAAATAGCTTGAGTCTTTCTTCTACTTACTGTTCCCAAAGACTTCTCCAGTTTGGATGCCGAACGCAAAAAAGAGTCCACCCAGAAAAAAGAGACATAAAAAGGTTTAACTCCTTTGTAAACTGTCTAAAATGTCCACTTCTCGGTGTATTATGTTCAAAACTTCGTCGACAACAGTTTGTATTAATAAAACTTCAAGTTATTTGTTTTCTTCTGGTCTTGAGTCTTTAACTTGTTTTTGAAAACTAGTCAGTACAAATAATCATCAAAAAGAGTTGAATTAATTGTGTTTTTGATATTTTTATTATTTAATTTTAAAATTTTATTTTATTTTTCTTGTTTAAATACATTCCTTAACCACTCTTATACATTAAGTCAAGTAATATATTTGTTTAATTTAACTGGTAACGATACATTTATTATTGTTATATTTAGAATTAGGTTAAGCCAAGCACCTATATTACAATATAATATTTGACCAATCAAATTATAAAAGTTTAATAAGATTGATAAAACAAAACAAAAAATAAAAATAAAAAAACTAGTTTAAATCTATCTCAAATAAGTTAATTAAAAATATCAGAAAAACTATATATAACTATTTAAAACCTAATCTAATTTTAAAATTATATAATTCTAACCTTAAAGTTAAGAGTAGAGCATATAAAAATTATTTTTCATATAATCTTGATAGTATATTTTTTATTGTTAATATTTTAAAATATTTATTAACTACTTTTAATTTTTAAGTAAATATTGCAAAATAGATTTTTTTTGATTCTAATAGTAGTAAAATTATTCAAATTGATTAAATATTTAATGAGAAATACATATTTAAAGATTTTCGTTATATGATATAAACCAATTAAAATCAATAATTTATGTGTAACTCCAAAAAATTTGAATCAATTCCCGGAAAATCTAAGATATATATATGCAAGTATATTTTTTTTAAACATTATAAAAAGCATAATTTAATATATATACTATGAAATTTTAATACGTAAAAATTGAAAATAATTATAAAAAATTTTATTAGTAGCATCAATTTTTTGGTAAAATCGAAAAATACCATGCAGATCACCCTTAAATCAATAAAATATATAAGAATCTGCACCGCTTTAGACGTTCCCTTATTTGGACGGAAGATTTTTCAAGGCAACGACCAGTCAAGGACCTCATATTATGTGGATCACCAATTAAAACTAACTTGCATCATTCTCTTTCACTTTGCGAGCAAATTTACTACGTACGTACGTACATACTTTTACTAATTTCAAACCTTAACGTAAACACTAATCCTACTTAAGAATTCTACTTAAGAATTTTGTTGGCACTATCATGTGAAAGTAGAATTTTAGCGGTGAAGATGTCAAACATATTTATTTGGCGTAAACATGTAGTTCTTCGCTTCGCACCGGATTAATAAATCTTAAAATATACATTCTATAGTATCTAAAATAGCAATTCTTTTTAATGCCATCCAACAAAAAGTTATGTAATAACAAAAGTTATACGTAACACTTTTTGTGTTACTTAAGTTAGCAGCTATTTTTAAAACTGATTTGTATTCTGTATTGGTATATCGAAATATTCCGTAACGGTAACACCTGTTTCTCCACAGGGTCTATCGATTCCAATACTAGCAATAGCACAAGGTACCGGCGATCCGTCATGAGCGGTTTTTTTTTCTGTGATATGACAGTAATTTAGTAATTGAAGGAAGATTTTTCAAGGGTCATACAATTTTTTCCTTAGAGCGATAAAAATTTTTAACGGATATGAAAACAGATACGAAAATAGATATGAACAAGCAAAAATATCGATATTTAGTAAGCCCGTTCAGTGATTTATTTTTTTTAATTATTTAAAAATGCTTAGTTTATAAAACGTCAACCAAGTGGCAAAAATAAAAAAAACGGCCGGCCGCAGCCAAATTACATCTTCTGGTTGAACTACGAATATAAATCCAAGCCTTTAAAATTCAAAATATGTAAAGCATTGAAAAGAAAGTAACCCCAAAGCACAAAAGATTGCTATAATATATTGGAATATATATATATATATCTATATAAATGTATAAAATATAACAATTTCAAGAGTGAATGAGGAATGAGGAATAAGGAGAGGGATAAACACTAAATTCGTGCTAGACACAAATAGAGCAGTGTACTTCTATATGGTGATCAATATTGTAAAAAAAATATATATATAACAAGTGTATAAAATTTATAAAATTTGAATATATGATTACAATGAAAATGAAAATAAAATTTTTTAAATTCTAAAATATGTATATGTATATGTATATATAAATATATAAAAAAAGATAGGAATGCTAAGAAATATTCGCTATGAAATTTGATAGCACAGAATGTATTTTTTTCAGAGTTTCGAACGAGAGTTTCCATATCAATCATCCAGAAGTAATATCGTACTCTTTTTTAGTGTTTAAAAAGTCTGCAACCAAAATAAACAAAATCAGTAAATATATATATATATAATATAATTCAAGAAATCAAACAAATCAAGCAAGCAGGAAAAAAAAAACACCTAATCTCGTTTTTTTAAAAAATTAAAGGAGTCTCCAATACAGCTTCCACTATGGCATTTCTGCGTCTCAAAGCGAAGTGAGGAACTGGAATGTCCAGCTCAAATATAGGGGGCGAACAGAAAACTTGGGGAGGTTCGTTATCGGGTAAGGAACTTGGTAAAAGAAAACCGTCGACACCCTCGACAACACTTTGTGAAAAGCTTGGACCAAAGCCAGAGCTTGAGTTATCAGTGCTTGTTGAAGACAACATAATGATAATGATAATGAGAATTAGGAGATTTAAAAAGATTTAAAAGATTTAAAATGATATGAGGAAGCCGGGTTCTATTTCAAAGTGAGAATGAGAACGAAAAAAAAAGATTGAGAGAAAAAACCCAATTTATGAGGGATATTTAAGCAGGAGGGCAGCTTTGTTTTTATACGTACGTATGTACATACATATTTAAAAATATATTGGTAATGTAAATGAGTCACGTTCCCTGCTTGTCTAACAAAAACGCAAAAAATAAACAAAGAATTACCATATAATTGATTGAATGAGTGGTATTGAAATATATTAAAATATATCAAATAAATCAAATAAATCAAATAAATCGGACTTAATATTTTTTTACCAATTAAATTCAATTATATTTTAATATATTTTAATAATATATTTTAATAACGATAATATATTTTAATAATATATTTTAATACGTATATATATTTTAATATGTTCTATGTTTAACAAAACGGAGTTACAGTAGATCATGTGACAGCCGAACACATTGCGTTATCGTTATCGTTATAATGAATTTTGGTTAAGTATTAGTCATACGTACGCAGACTGACATATTACATATCAATATCAGACAATAATTTGAGTACGTATTCTGTAACAATCAAATGATAAGTTCTTATGACTGGTCATAAAATAATGTGAGGTACGTATGTACTTAAAATTTACTAATGCTTGACAAATTATATTTCAACCACGCTATGTATGCACAAATTAGCGATGATCTCTCAATCATTCGGTTTTGTTCGGTCTTGCTAGTTATTGGATTGCTATCTTAGGTGACGACGAATTCGGTCTTAAGTTTGTGCGGTAGTGTGGAACAGTCAGTACTATGGTCACAGTACAGTGCTATAGATACTATAGACTAACACAAACCAAAGGTCATTAAACGATCTTTCCTTCGAAGAATAATTATAAAAATTCATGTAATTTATTTAGAAATGCCTAGAAATGCATACCTATATAAATTTCTTTAAATGCATGTATTGTCTTATAGAAAAGCTTTATACGTATACCTTGCTTTTTATAAATGCGCATCTTTCTGAGTGCACGCATTGCTTTTTTATTATGATTTCAAGATGCATCTAGGGGTTTTGACTGTACGTATTACTGTATTACAGTACAATTAATTTAAATAAATCTGATATACTGTAGATTCACTTAAATAAACTTAAAATTTATTTGTATCAAGATTTTGTTATAAAATCTTTAATTTCAACTGCCCATTGTTCGTACGTATAATTTCATTCATTACCTTATTAGTTACTTTATGGTCTGATATTTTGTGTCTTAAAAAATCTTAATAAATCTTAATAAATCTTAATATCTGCATAATTCTCCTAAAATAATTCGCAAGTTCGTTGTCCAAAGTATAACTTATATTTTAATTTATTAATTTGAAAATATCGATATACGTATAACTTTTTTCCATGTGCTCCATTCTCAAGAACAGTCTGAAACTGAAAAAACATCGGTCGGCTCTTAGTCTTGAGACCAGACCAATCTAAACTAGTCTGTATATGTCTAAATTTTAAATTATAAATAACTAATGATCGTACGTACTAGACTAGTTTAGTGCATATAATTTGATCTGAATTTAAGTTTAGAAATTGTCAACGAATTAATATATGTTCAAAAACCATTCAACTGGTAAATCTGATATGCGTGTATACGTACGTACACGTCGATCAAGAACCAATTATGTCTAAAAAACTTGAGGATTTGATTAGTCATGTTGTCGGCTTGTATATTAACTATATATATATATACTATAAAAACCGATTAACAAATATATAGAACCATGAGCCAATAGTTTTCTAAATTACGCAAATCAAATCTGTATAGCGTACAGGAGTCTAGAATTATGCATATGTGAATATGCGATCACGTTTTTGTATATCATATATGCACATATGGGGACCTCCACTTTTTGCTATGAGGTTCCCATATGTGACGCTGTATATAACGATAAGCAAATGCTTTCATAAAGCTTTTTAAAAGTAACGGTAATATCTAATATCGATATGTATTTCAAATGGTTTCGATCTATATTATATAACGAAATTAATGTTTTACAGTACATTTACTAAAAAATAATGTTTATATTAAGTTAAAGCTATTTAAAATTAGTTTTACTCTTAGTAGTAAAAAAAATTAACAATAAATTTTTTAAAATACAATCAGACCTCTCTAAATACATAGCCAAGAAATATTGAAAAAATCTTGCATTTAGAAAGATATTTAATATTATTTTGAGGTTTAGCATGTTTTATTAAACATTGTTTTAAATACTAATATAATTATAAATACTATATTTAACCTTGCTATATTGATAAAGATAAAAACACTATTAGTTATACAGTATATACAACTTTAGTTATTGCCTATTTATAAATTTGGCTATATCTATTTTTATATATAATTATATATCAATTTTTATATCTAAGATTTATTTATAAATTCTTTATTTAATCAACTTTATACTATATTATTAAATATTTTTTTAATAAAAAATTACTACAGTCAAACCTCTATAAATGCAACATGTACAGACCAGCCTAAAACGTGCATTTAGGGAGATTTGCATTTAGAGGG